TAATGAGTGCTTTGACATTTATCCATTGTTAGGTAGTTTCCCATCATATTTGGAAAAAAAAAAAAAAAAAAAAAAAAAAAAAAAAAAAAGAGCTAAATAACTCACACTAAAAGTGCATGTTACTATATCAACCTTAGATGATATTAATAACATCAAAATTGCTTAACATTTTTGAAGGGTATTATAGTCTTTTCATCAAAATTTCTTAACAACATCAAAAGAAAATATTAGTCTTTCCTCTACCGACATGAGACATAGATGTAACACACAAAAGGAGAGGCCTGAGGCCATAATGAATTTAGCAGTCCCTTTCTGTGAAGTGTACATATTAATATTATACATACATAGTATGAGTGGCTTTTGGACATTATCATTGTTAGGTAGTCCTTTTGGCCTTGACCTTAGCAGTAAAACGTTGCCATTCTTATATTAAATTAGGTCCTATTTTCCATACTTTGTATTAAATTTATTTTGCTTTTGCCAATTCTTTCTGGGTTTCTTAAAATGGCATTCACATTTAGTACTTTTTGATTGGTTCTTCATATCATTTCTGTAGTAAAATGTACAATTGTTATTTTCAATTTCTCTTTTAGGCAATTCCAACTAATAAATTCTAAAAAAAATTTTATCCTAAAATTATTACTTATTTATCCAATAAAATATATAAATTAATATCAATCAATTAATTTTCCATTTATAGGAGAAGTGAGAAGTTTTAAATCCGAGTCTAATATATTTTATTAGATATCTTATTTATTCTCATGTTCCGTCATCCTTTAATGCATCAAAGTAAAAAAACCACTAAAGTCCCATTAAAAAAATAAATTAATAATAATAAATAAAGCACTAAGGTTATCAACTTTCAACAAAAAGGCTAAGCATGTCACATGTGTGCACGACAAAGTTCAACCCAATTTATAAATAAATACGACAAAGTACACTATTGTCGTCTACTTATGTTACGATCGGTTTGTGACAGTTAATTGACCCATCAAATAAGGGTCGGGTCAAATTATTTGTTAGCCTTCAACTTTGTATTATAACTTAAATTGAATGCAACAAACTTTGAATATGTAATATAAAATTGCAATTAATCATATTATTCATATTTATGTTTCAATTGATAAAAATTAGATTTTTAAAAATCAATTTAGTTAAAAATATTTTTTTAATATGATTAAACCAAATTAAAAAAATATTAGGTGGAAATTTGATACTTTGACCAAATATAATATGTCCTAAAATCTCAAGACTCTTGTATTCATTAAATGCAGACAACACTTTACCTCGATTTGTTACCAACTTGCGGGTCCATGGAAGCTCACGTGGACAAGACTTTTTATTATTATTTAATTAAATTTGTGAATTAAAAAACACAAACTTGCTTGATCATTACGATAAATCTGCCCTCCAACCCATAAACTTTTCTTTCTGATGTTTAATTTCAAATTCCATTTTACTTGACCAAAAAATATCAGCTATTAAATGGTGTTTCTGGTTGGTATAGGCAGATGAAGATAACACGTGTGCAAATGAAAAAATTGTATGAAATAATATTAAAAGTATTATTTTAATCTCACGAGTTGTTTCTCGTTTTTATAAAGAAAAAAGTAGAGGAATGCGCTCCTCCTAGAAACAGGAACAGGAAGCATGACTACACTCAACCAATTCAGACAAAAAGTGTCGATTTTTTCTCCTTTTCTTTTATTGCACATCACCTTTTTTTTTATCATTATTATTTTATACTATCTATTATCTAATGGCAAAAGCTACAATTTAGGATCAAGTCCAAATTTCATTTTCAGCTTTCTATTTGGTTTCTACAATGTCAACTTCTTAATTGGTACACTTTGGATTATTAATTCTTTATTGCCTTCTTCTTCGACAACTTCCAATTTCATATCTTCTACTTAATATATTCAATTAAAATGTCATGGACTATTATGGACCAAATTAGATTTTTTGTAAGATTTGATATTATAATCTGCACCAAATGATGTGTTAACTTGAGATGTTAACTTACTCGAGGTGAATTTCATATTGGTTAATCACAAGATAAAAGTGATGTATATAAAAATGGACAAGCCTTAGACAAGCAAAAAGCTTTTTGGGTTATAAGTTGGTTCTAGCCCAGGTCTAAATTATGATTCGACCTAAAGCGGATAATATTTTACTAGACCTGGAACGTCAAAAATATATTTAATTATATAATTTGTAAATTTGCTTAACTAGTATTTAGAGCTTTCTTTTCTTTTTTTACTGGGTTTTTTTTTACTTAATTTTTTCAAGTTTAGTTTTGGATGTATTGAAGAACTTGCTGATTTGGACCGACATGCTTGGATAAATTAAAATTTTTTTCTGATTATATTAATAAAATGAATTAATTTTGCTAAAAAAAGAATTAGTGTACTGATATGGAAAAGAAAAATAAGTAATCAAAGTATTGCTAATAATGAATTCCAAATAGGGAATTCTTATCATATGAAAATAATATTGCCTTTGAATTGTTTATAATATTGCTTAAAGAAATGGAAAATGCATGTCAAAATCACTCACGTGTAATGTGACTAGCCAAACGCCATAAATGCAGTTGACCAAAAAAGTATCTTGTAATTCTGTTGTTTTTTGGAGTTACAACTCAATGTTGGAGTAATTATACAGTAGAATGGTAATGTGAATTCACCTAAATTGACATGATAATTCAATTAAAATAAAAATATTTATCATATATAGATTAAAATTAAGATAAGAATAGAGAGGCCGAAGTCAAAAAATCTTTTTTTATTTAATTTACGTATTTCATATTAAATTAACATTTTATTTTAATGGAATTTTCATTTAAACTCATAATTTTAGGATTTTTTTTCCACATAGAGGAAAATATATCATGTATTATAAATTTTATAAATAGAAAGTAAATAAAATCCAATAGAACTAATAGCATATAACACAAAGACAAAAAGAAATAAGGTTGTTAAAATAGCTAGTTATTCTTCGGCGCCTATCTACTAGCTAATTAGAAATTGACATAATATATAAATTTACCCTCCAAAATTTACGCTTTTAATGACCCTTAAATTTTACTCCAATCGAATTAAAAATCAAAATGAATTAACCAAATAATCAAAATAAAAAATTACATTAAATCGATTCCATTTAATTTTTAAGTTTTTCCAAACTTCCCTCATTCTTATTTTTGATCTCTCTAATTGTTCATCTAACTAGCTAGGGACCTTTTTAAAAAAAAAAAAAAATCAAAACAAATAAACAATTTTGAGATGTATATGTATGATGAGAAGAAAAATATGGTATTTGTAAAACATCCAGGTTTAAATCCCCTTCTCTGAAAAAAATTCAACACATCGCACTTAATCTATAATATTAAATATATATTGTATATCCATATAGCTCTATATATTAAGGTATTAAATCGAATCAGAACAACATGGACTCAACATGACATATTGATATGAATATATAATTTTTAAAGTATAGGTGCTTAAATGGCAATAAATTAGAGTAGAAAGTGTCCATATAGCAATTTATCTTTTTGTTTTATTATAGTTAACCTTTCTAAAATTTAATAAATATTAATTTTTTGTATTAAATAATAGAATTACAAACAATAATAAATATGGTTAATTAATGGAACTGAAATATAATTTCAATTTTTTCTTATACCTTATTTAATTATTTAAAAATAATTAATTAACAAGCATTTCAACTGAGTATATAAAATTTCAAAAGGAAAAATAAATAATTATAATAATTGATTGTACTAATAAATATTTCAGTTTATTACTTTTCTTTGAGAATTTAGTTTATTACTTGAAAAATTCAAAATAACCATGTAATCAAAAGACATAAATAAATTATTGAAACCATAGCAACACAAGTATAAATTATAATAAATTTTCAAAAAATTATCCGTTCAAATTGATGGAAAAATACAAATACAATCCATGTATCGTGTGAGCATATGGCTAATTTAAATTAAATGTATATAAAAATTTCATAAGTCAATTTATTATACAACATATTTTAACTCTGTCATCAATAGATCAATTTGTTTATGATATAAATTCTTTATTAATTATATGTGTTTTGCCATGAATATTATAATTACGTGGAAATTCATTAAGTTATCTTTTCATAAGTTATTTCTTTTAGAATAAATAATTATCTGCTTTGGAATGTATGATTATGTTATTTTAAATGTATTTTGTACCTGTAGACAGAAGTATTTTGACTCTATATAAATACATTTTTCTAATGAATAAGAATTACTTTCTATGCTCAATTTCCTTATATTTTCTCTATTTTCTTATATTTCATAACATGTTTAAGAAATTATATTCATGTGGCACTTATATCATGTGGTGTTTGAGTTTGGGTCAAACGAGTCGAGCCGATTCACTAACTATTCGAATTTTTTTGAAAAAAGATTAAAAAAGTTCGGATCAAATCGAACTCGAACCTAACGATGTTCAATTTGAAAATTCGTCGAGTTTTATCGAGTTTTTATATATACATATATAATATTATTTTAGACTTATTTGAATTTCGACCTTAAAACTCAATTTTAAGCTCACTCGAACCTCAATTTCAAAATTTTTCAAATTGAACTCGAACATTAAATTATACTAAAACTTTTATTGAATCGAATTTGAGTCTAAAATTTTTAAACTCGTTGAGTTTCTAACGGAACTTTAGAGTCCAATAAGTTTAAGTTCAACTCGGTCCTAACTATTCCTATCTAATTATGCTGATGAAATTAATCAATGTTTTATGTAAAAAAAATTTAAGTTTCGCACTCCACCTTAACATAATTCATATTTTAACGAATGACATACGAGGTGGATCAGGCGCCTACATTTATTTGTTGAGGTGGCAAAGGATGGTTTGATTTAATAGGCGTACTAAAACAGAGCGTAGGGTTAAGAGATCATCAGATGGACAAAACATAGTTATTGTCTTATTCTCACACTCTCACTCTTCCTTCTTTGACTACTCTCTGCTATTCACTGCATCAGTGCGCGTGGCTTCAGTTCCTCATTTCCTCTCCTTCTTACACCTCTCGTGAAAATTATTTCAATCAAATAATTTTTCTCTCTCTTTCTCTCTGTTTCATCTGTTCTCGAGACAACGAGCAGCCCCTTTCATTGCAGGACCAGGAGCAACCTTTTCTTGTTTGGTCTTTCTATCTTGCTCTGTTCCTTTTTTCTTTTTCTGTCAAAATGGCAACTTCCTTCTTCTCCTCGAGCTCCATTTTCTTGGGCCTTGCACAAATATAATCCAATCAAATGATTCTCTTCTTTTCTCTAATTTTGATTTAATCATCATCCTTTTGATTCTTTGATACAACCTAACCAAAACAAAAGAAAAGAAAAGGAAAGGAAAAAAATCTACAATTTTACTGTTTTCCTTTCTCTGCTATATTTTCTTTCTTTGCAGAGTTGGATCGTTGTTTTGTTCCTCTGTGCTGTCTTTTCCTTCTTATTGCATAATTGTACCGCTCTTTTTCTGTTTTTTTGATGTTGAGGTTTCGTGTTTTCTTTATGTTCTCTGTACTGCTGTGTTTCAGTAGCTCTTTCTGCTACATTGTGGTTTCTTAGCATGTTTTGGGTAATAAAAAGACCTGGGATTTTCACATGGATATTTTGTGAGATGTATTGGCATTTTGTAAATGAGAGAGTTTGGGACTTGAGATTTGAGAGTTTTTCGTTCTGAGGAAGTAATTTTTAGGATTTTTGGTTTGTGGGTTTTGGTGATCAGTCTTAGTTAGTCTTCTTCATCTTCTCCTTGACTCGACGTACTTCAGAGAAAGATGAATGAAACGACAGGGAAAACGACATCGTGTTTGGCGATAACGGAGAAACGGCCTCACAGGCCTGGTGGTTGTGCGGGTATTTTCTTTCAGCTCTTTGATTGGAACCGGAGATTTGCCAAGAAAAAGCTCTTTTCCAAGAAATTGCTGCCTCCAGGTCTTTCTTTCTCCCTCTCTTCCAACTGCAAAAATAATCATTACCCATTTGACCAAATCATAGTCTTGAATGTTTTTCTTTTTCTATTATTGCATTTTTTTAGCTCGAGCAAAGCAATCTTCGAAGAAGTTTGGCGGGGATGAAAAGATGCCCAAAACCAAACCTCATTTGGTACATGTCATTTTTTTTTTCTTGCGTTATTAGGCATCAACTTTTAAAAACTGTCAATTTCGTATCATCTATCATTAAGTATTTGCGCTTGACTTTTGTAGATTGCTGATGAGAACAGTGGGGGTTTCCCCAATGTAAAGAAAAATGGGAACCGCAGTGATAGTACAGAGCAAAATCATGAAATGAGAGCTGCGGGTTTGGTTGCTAGGCTTATGGGTCTCGAATCTTTGCCTGCAGTGCATAAAGATAAGCACAAAAAAGTTTCGACTTCTGCTACTTGTGATGTTAAAGAAGAGAAATTTGTTAACAGTCACACTGGGTCTGATAAGGAAATTTTGAACTTCGAGAAAGGAAGCACTAAAGTTGAATCTAGGCCTCAAAAGCTTCAGAAAACTGGTCAGTTTGACAGAAGGGCAGTAACTAGATTTGGAGCTGAGGCTTTGCAAATTAGGAATGTATTGTCTAAAGCGAGAAAGCATCATCATCCCAAGCTTACTTCACCAGTGAAGAGTCCAAGGTTTTCCTCTTCAAGGAATGTATCTAGGGCATCCAGATTGATTGATGCTGCTACTCGGATTTTAGAACCAGGGTTACAAGCTACTAATAGAGCAAAATGTGCTCTTACTTATTCAAGTTCTAGGAATCATATTTCCAAGAATGATGCTCTGATGGATGAAATGGGATTAGGAGTCATGTCACCAGGTTTAGCGAAACAACAACGAAATGATATGAATTATAATGTGGATGTAGGTAAGTCTTTGATGGGGCAATCTTCTTGCAAAAATTGTGGTAATTTGCTTGATGTGGTTGATTCTAGACCAACTATGGAGGAGCAGCATCTATTTATTTGTCCATCCCCAGTGGTCACTACTGCCTGTTCGACAGGATTGGATAGGATTAAGCCAAGGGAACCCTTATCCTCCCCTGAAAGAGAAAGGGATACATTGTATAAGAGAAATCAGGTTCAAATATCTAATGCTGCTGAAATACTAGATAACACTAGGGCTTTTAGTGAAACCATATCAGATAGGAAACCTTTGTCTTCAGAAGGTCATGGTGCACAGCAAATGAAAAGCCAGCAGTTTAGGCCTCAAAAGGATGAGCCATCATCTATTGCTTTCAGGCAGAGGATTGCAACTCCAAATGAGATGTCAGTGAGCAGGAGTAAAATTCCCCCACAGGCGAAATTAAATAACTTGCAAAGCAGGAGAGCTTCTACAGCTGCCCATGCTACCACTGGAGCTAAAGATTTTGTTGCTTTAAACAGAAGTTTAAGTGGTCGCACCCGGCTAAGGGTGTCCAAAGCAGATAATTATATGGTTGACACGGAGAGAAAACTTTGCAGCAGGCATGATGATTCCTTGTCACAGTTAAGGACTCCGGTTCGAAAGAGGAGGACTGGAAGTGTCAATGCACAATTTGAAAGTTCTGGACTTGTTAATTCACCATCTATCAGAGCAAAAAATGTTAAGTGTGAGTTTATGAATGGAAAGGAGTTGGGGACTAGTGCTCACACCATGGACCGAGCATGCACCAAAACCAGATCAGCTAGTCATGGGGAAGGTGGTGATAGAGCTAATGGCAATAAAGACAATGATGTTGTATCTTTTACATTTAATTCCCCATTGAGGCATAAAAAATTTATTTCCTCTAGGCTTAAAGAGACGAGGGATCACGTTGATAATAATGCTTCTTGCCAAAGAAAGCTACTTTTGGATGAAAATAATGGCAAAACATCTTTGCAGAGGCAATTGCCAATGAGAGGAGATACTTTAGGGGCACTTTTGGAGCAAAAACTAAAGGAATTGGCATCTCAAGAAGAGGATGAGTTGACCAATGGTTGCACTGTACCTAAGAGATCAACTGCTATGATACTACAAGAGCTGATATCTGCTTTAACTACACAGCAGCCTTTTTCTCCTGAAGATCATGCGTTCAATGCTGAAACAACTTTCCGGGTTAGTTTCCTTTATACTGTGTTGGTTATGAAGATTGTTTACTTCTCTATTTATTTTGGCTTGATCTTGTTAGAACATGAATACATGAAGAGAAATTTTGGAAATATGCTAACATTTGTAATATCTTTACGCATGTTGTCTGTACATCATATGGTTATTTCAACTGTTTTTAGCTTTCATGCTTTCGTACTATGACTGATTCTGTTGCTTCCTTTGAGTGGGTAAAAATAAATAAGGAAACTGGAGCATAAAATGTGAAAACTGACTACCATATTACCAATTGAGGTTGGAATATGATAGTAGAAATTGATTGTGGAAGGGTATTGCTTTCTTATTAATATCTGGTCTTAATCCTCTTTATTTTGTCAAAGAAGACTTCATAAAATCACAGATCAGATGTTTGAAATTATTGCGCTATAGGGCATCTAAAAGTATGTGACAGTGACATTTACGTGTCAATGCTGAGATGTTGCACTTCTTTGAATAGGAATTTTAAGTTTATGTTGATGTACTAGACAGGGCATGTAGGCAGTTCAATCCAATATTCAGTTGACAATTGGCCGGGCCACCTTACATTTAGGATGTGATATCAACACAGATGGAATCTTGTTAGGTAATTGGTAAACTACTATCAAAGTAAAATAGTAAATACATGTGCATACCATTTTAATATGAGCATATTCTGAAATTCACCTCCTATTGGCCCAAGTCAAAATAAATATGCACGAGGCTTGTCTTTTTTTTTTTTTTTTTTTTGTGGATATCAACACAGATGGAATCTTGTTAAGTATTGGTAAACTAACTATCAAAGTAAAAATAGTAAATACATGTGCATACCAATTTTAATATGAAAAGCATATTCTGAAATTCACCTCCTATTGGCCCAAGTCAAAATTAAATATGCACGAGGCTTTTGTCTTTTTTTTTTTTTTTTTTTTTTTTTTTTTTTTTTTTTGGTGAAATTTTCTGCTTCATCCTTCTTAATGTGCTTTGTTTAATATATAGATCTGACAAGTCTAGCTTTCGTTGTTACTTTTGTCAGGCTGAAGGAATGAAAGGAAGCACTTTTGTTGGATTTTCACACGATGGTGACCACTTAAGTCCTGGATCTGTTCTTGAAGCTTCATTCTCGAATGATAGTTGCTTTTCTAGCAGTCTGGATGATAGCTCAGGCAAGGAAATTGAACTCTACAGAATAGCAAACAAATAAAGTTAGAAGTACTTATGTTTAAATACAGTGAAACTCTTAATGAACAGTTCTCAGCAGTAGCTAAAATTTTATCTTCACTTACAAATGTTGGTTGTAACCTTCGTTCTGTGTTTCTTCCCTTTTGCTTGTTGATGCCAGGCCGTAGGTTGATTTATGACTGTATGGATTATTCCTGTGATCAGCAACAACCAGTAGAAATCGATGCTGATCTTCTGGATTCGGCAACCTCTATAAATGATGGATGGACAGGAACCAAAATGGTGACTGAGCTTCTAGGCCATATTTCTAGGATGTTGCAAAGCATCAAGGTTATGTTGGACGCTGAACTGTTATTCAGAAGTACATCTTCATTTAATTTGGATAGAATGAAAAGTTTCCTTATTAGTCCATTTTTATTCAACGAACTTGAGACCCTTGCTGGTGTTATGTGGAAAAATTTCAACCTTGGTTTGGAGGAGCTCAAAGAGGGTAGCAAAGATAGTCAAGTTAGAAGGTTTCTTTTTGATTGTGTGGTAGAATGCTTAGATTCAGAATATAGCCGGTACTGTAACAATGGATTCAAAGCGTGGAGAAGTGCACCGGTGTGCACAAATGCAGAAATGTTGATTGAAGAGGTTGGGAAGGAGGTCAGGCGGTGGACGAGTTTGGCTGGGATGATTCCAGATGAGATAATAGAATGGGAGATGAGTCATTCCTTAGGAAAATGGACAGATTTTGAAATTGAAGCATTTGAAATTGGTGCTCAAATTGATTGGGATATACTGCAGGTTTTGGTTGATGAAATTGTAGTAGACTTTTGGGATAGTAAGCTGTGTTCTTTCTGAAGTGTCTCAAAAGTTTGTAACTTCTTTTTTCTTTCTGCTAGAAATGTGAAATGCCAGAAATTAACCTGTATAATGTAGAGGTGACATTGTCATCTAACATGATGGATGATGATATTTGAAATGGCTATTAACATTGTAAATGAGCTCTATTGGACAGCTTTATGGAACTGGATTTTGACATTAAGGAACGGCTTAAAATGTTCTCATGGTTAATAATAGCAACTGGTTCAAAGGCAGAAGCTGGCCTATCCACAATTTATAAAAATAAAAGGCATGGTTATCCACTTCAATTATGTGTTCTATTTGTTTCTCTGCAGTTTGTTTCTTGTGCATGGAACACTATGGAAAATTGATCTATGAAAAACATTTTTTTTCCAAAGAGAATTATTTTCCGTTTTTCTGATAAAATTAAGGATAAATGAATATATAAACACACGTCATTTCCTCATTTTCAAATACATAGAAAAATATTAACATAATTTAGGCTTAGAAATTGCAGTAAAAATAATTTTCCCTCCGTCAATATCATGATTTTAGGGATTTTTTTTTTTATTTTCATTAAATATTTTCTTTTCTGATTTATCCTTCTATCACTAGGAATATTAATAGTTTATATTAAATTTAAAATCTATTTCAAATTTATTTAAACCATGTGAATTTAATATGTTTTATCACAAGCAAAAACCTTAAACGCATATAAAAATAATAGAGTACTTATTCAATATATTTCAAATGCCAGAAAATAAGTTCCAAATAATTTTCGGCACATAATGAAAAAAGCTAGTTATTTCCACGAAACAAGCAGAGGCTTGACAAAATCTAGCACTAAAAAGCTCATACTTACACACAACAGCGTACTTCTTAATGGGATTTCAAAATGCTCTTGGTTATATTGACAAGATATGTTAAGTTACAGCCAAACGGTCATTTTGATAGATAAAGGCGATGGTTCATTTTCAATTTTCAGTCAACTGACAATTTTGAAAAACCGGTCGTCTTCACCTTCATGAACAATAGTCAATCCATCCTCCCCTTCAAGATTCTTTCTGTGACTTCAGTAGGCGTACTGCAGTATATATAACAACAAAAATGACAGTTACATTTATGAAAAAAAAAAAAAAAAACAGTTGATCAATGAAAGAGTTTGAGCTGATTGCGTGAAACCAAGATCTAACTAAATAATGAAAAAGTTTATTTGATCAATAATAAAATTCATAGAAATTATTAGAGGCATGCAAAGTTAAGGCTGAATGAATGTTTGAGAATGAATCAGTACTTATACAGGCAATTGCCATATATTTTGAGAGGAGAAAAAATGCTAGCAGAGACATAGGTACAATGAACTGAAACAAAAATAGTGGCTTACACAATGTAGACATGTCCTCCCCAACCGCTCAAACAGTCTCGATCTACTGATGATAGCAGTGCTTGAGAAACAGTTTCAGATAATTCCTCAGCTTCCTGAATATGAGATAAATAGTTAATCATTCTTTAATTGTATAACAAGAAGTGGAGAGTTTACTTAAGCATTAACTGGTGATTAACCATAACAAATCTCAGATGCTAGTCGACAAGTCTATGATAACTTGTCAACAAACTAAATTCTTCCTACTGGATATTAGCCAAGTTGATCAGAAGTGACAGAATAGTGTCTATTAAAGCCATCTAAGACCTGGCTTGGCAAACTTGCTCCTTCCCACGTTTAAAGAAAGAAAAAGGAATAGCTTTCTTGGGCACATGATCCATGTATTTCCACATGCAAAATTTTGATAGTACAAAATCAAATACTAACCCTGAAACATTTCTGCTGTCTGGTTTATTTTACAAGGAATTATACCACAAACGGAGCATATAGAAATAAACACAGCCTAACAGAAGAAGGATGTACCGAGCATAATTATAAGAAGTGATTCCAGTAACTAACCATGTCAGGCTTGAAAATAGCTTCACATGCACCATAAAGTGATTCCGAGGCTGTGCCAGCAACCACAAAATCTTTTGCAAGTTCCCTGCATTTGGTAAAAAGAAGGAAAATAAAACCAACAAAGATCTGATGAGGTTATCCAAAATACGAGAGAACTGCAGTTCAATTTACTTAGTAAAGCTCCTCATTCTGATTGCATGCAAAATCAGCAGCATCAATAAGAGAAATTTGTGTCCAACCGTCAGTCAGTCAGTCAGCGGACTCTGTTGGCATTACCATTTATACCTAATAAACCTTTTGCCAGATCTCATTAAACAATTTAGAGCAATGATAGGAAACATTTCAATCTTACATTTTTCCCAATCTATAATGAAAATGAATTAGACAAAAGATGGCATGGCATCCTCCATATCGACACTAACACATTTAAGTGCTAGGAGAACTCTGCTAGCTGAGACACCTAAGGTTTTAAATAATCGAAAGAGAGTAAGAAATCTAACATACTTGGCTCCAATTGAATCCATTGTGCAAATGAAGGGCTCGTCTTCGTCACTCAATCCAGCAATTACAGGCTGGCAGAAATACGGACCAAACCTAAGAAAGAGTAACAGCTTCTCAAGGAGCCTTCAAGTTAAACAGCTAATTGAAATAGTTCATCAACTACGACTAATTTAATTAAAGCAGCATACTTTATCAACTAATTCTCGACTGTTTTACAAACTCAATGCGTAGTATTTTTGTAATCTTTATTATTCAATTTTAAAAACAAAAAAACACAAAATTAAAAAACCTTTTCTCATAGAGGAGAGCAGAGACGAGGCTAGCAAAAGTCTCAGGCTTCATGTCCCTCTCTTCTCGAAGCTGGTACAATTTGTGACGGAAAACAAGTCTCTGATACCTAAAGTATAGAAATTCAAATCCCTGAAATCACTCTAAGAATAACAACCGAACCAACAAAAGAAACAAAGGTTTATGTGAATGAAATTTTACAGGGTTTGAGCATCAGTGGCTAGGCCGGAAAGACCGAGAAAAAGCCTGTGGTGGATTTTGTATATTCTTTGAAAATCAGTAGCTATTGTTTGGAGCTGAACTCCAAGTCGCCGATCGCTGGCTATGGCAAAGCAATTCTTGCCCACCATAGCTATTAGGGCACTGCCATTGTACTCAAAAATCTGCAATTGCACCGTGTAATATAAATGATCATAATACATCTTTTTGACTATATATGCTTTTTATGTAAAGAAATTATTAGGGTCTCAGATGAAAGAACATACCGACATCGAGATTGACTAACAGAGGAGTATCGAAGTGGAGAAGAAGTTGCAATTATGGTGGAGAAGAAGTTGCAGAGACGATCTAGCTTACTGGCTTAGGCCTTACTCCAAGAGAGAAAAAAAAAAAATTGCCTTTTGCTCTAAAATTTTGAATAATTAATTTATATACAGTAGTCTTTTTAATTTTTATAATTATAAATTACAATTATTTTCAATATTTTACTAATTTTAAATTACTCTCATGATAACTATCTCTAAATTACTAAATTAAAATTTACTCAATAATTGGACCAAGTCCCTTAGATTTAAGTACTCTCAGTAGACATTTTTTTAACCGATCTAGTTAAGGGACTTAAAATTTTTTACTGACAAACCAATTCTTTTGGTGGTTAATTTTTATATTTATGAAATATCATATTAAATAACATTTTAAGTGTAGCTATTAGAAAGTTAATTGTATTAAAACTGAACTTATTTGCTAGTTAAATTTTATATTTATGAAATATCATATAAGTTTTTTTTATTATAGTTATTAGAAAGTTAATTATATTGAAACTAACTTTGAAGTAATTCATGAGTTTTACCCTTATTTGGAAAATTGTTTTGTGAAATTCATTAATAAATTTAAATTTTTATGTTTGGTATGAAAAAAAAAAAAGTTCTATGAATTTAATTTAGTAAATTTGAATATATAATTAAATTAAATTCTACTAAAAAATGTCAAATTTTCAATTTAAACAACATAAGTTTTATGACAAAACTATTCATTTTTCTAATTTTCTAAAATTATTATGTTAAAGGTATTTTAAAATAAAAAAGTAAATAAATTTTTAATTTTATATTCATTACAAATATGAAAAATTTATTTACAAATAGAATTAGATAGAATTTATTTATAAATAAATTTCATATTTTTAATTCAGAAACAAAAAATTAATTAAAATTGAATATGATTAAAATTGTTTTTAAGAGACTAAATAATAATTTATCCTTTTTCATTTTTAACCAACAAGTTTATATTTTATTGGCAAATGTTTGCTTGGCCAATGGTGATGTGTGGAGTTTGTATATTGAGAAACTTAATTGAATTGCAGTATTATGAAAATGCCTCCATACATAAATTTATTTCCGTTTTTTTTTTTTTTAAATTTTTTTGGTACTTTAAATTTTTATTTTGTCCACCTTTCGATTTATAAAATTAAATATATTTAACAAATTATTTGACTATTTAATATTTCAATTTATAAAATTAGATTGACTAAACATTTATTGAATAATTAAAAATATAAAATTATTATTATATAAATTATATTAATCACATATTAAATCAATATTTTATATATAAAAAATAAAAAATTTTCAAGAAAATTATTTTTAATGTAAAAAAAGTATAAAATTTTAAAGTGTCACGGTGTTAATTTTAAAATTTAGAATAATATAAAATTTATTTATCAAAATTCAGAGTTAAATTTATCCATTAAATTTATGGAATCCGTCGGTATCATTAACATTGCTGTATATTGTTATTCATTCCTTTTAATGGATACAAATCAGATGGGGCTTAGTACTTGAATTGCACTTACTTGTGCTTTTTTTTTTTTTTTTTTTTGAATAAACCAACAGTCTCTTCGATATGGTTCACAGGAAGATAAGAAAAAACACAATGTTGATTCCAAATAGTGTCTAATTTATTTAAAAACATTAACCAAACCCATATCCAAATAACTTACAATCCACCATAAATCAAAACCATCCTTATTTTTTTTTTTTTTTTTTTTGAATAAACAACAGTCTCTTCGATATGGTTCACAGAAGATAGAAAAAACACAATGTTGAATTCCAAATAGTGTCTAATTGTATTTAAAACATAACCAAACCATATCCAAATAACTATACAATCCACCATAATCAAACCATCCTTAATCTTTAACTAATCTCTCTCAGCTTTTCAAAGAAAGTGTAGTAGAAGTAATAAAGCAAACTTCTTATGAAAATCAAACCCAATTAACAAACCCAGAAAGAAAAAAACAAAAAAAAATCAATAAATCTCTCATTAATTGTGGAATTACTATAAATTTCAAAATTAAAACTGCCTATAACCCAGTACAGTCTTGCCAATTCCCCTACCAACCCTCCCTCCTCTGTTTTCACCACTAATAGCAGAAGCAGCAGCCATAGACAAACCTTTCAATTCTTCAACACTAGCATAACTCTTTCTCGCCATTATTCCAGTCTTTTTCTCTCCAGCACTAGCAGACTTACTTCCTCTTGAATTCGACAAAATCCCATTAACTTTCGCCCAATTCTTTGATGGAGGAGTCAATTCAAGAGGTGGCTTTCTATTTTCTTTTCTCAATGTAGCAGAGAAATCAGGCACAGATTGAGCCAAAACAGAGGATTTGGAAAACCCTTTTTTTGAATTTGTCAAATTAGCTTGAAATTTGACTTGTTTTTTTGGTGGGGTTTGTTTAAAATCACTCTCTTCGATTTCTTCTTGCCTTAAATTCTTCATCTTCAGCTTTGATTCTCTTAACTCTGCATATGCTCCGTATCTTGGTCCTCTCTCCATAATGTAGCTATCTGTGGTGAGTTTTAGAGTGACAAGTTGGTCAGATTGGTAGGAATTATGAGAGAGGATTAGAGACATGGGGTCAAGTGTATTGAAGAGAGATTGATGAGAAGTAGGGTTTGATTCTGCTTCCATTGTTGATAGATTTGAGAGATGGGTCAGTTTCTTTGCTCTGTTTCTTTTAATTGCTTTTGTAGTTTCTTTGATGGGGTTTTGCTTAAAGAAATTGATTTTACAACGGTCTAATAAAGAGCAAATAGTCAGAGAAAGAGAGAGAGAGGGGGAGAAATTATTTTTCTTTTTAACCCTTTTTGTTTTTCCCCAAACTTCAACGTTATTGTTGAGGTGGGTCCCATTTTTTAAAGTAAGGAAAGTAATTGAATCACATTGGGCATTGGATTCCATGCTACCGCTAGATTTGATTTGGATCGTCATGATGGTTTTCGATTGGAGTTTTCTTGATGGGATTAATAACAAGTTGCTCTTATGTGATCCAAAAATGGGATCATGAGAAAATTTGACAAGGTTCAAGGGAAATTTATGTCTGGTGAAATGTTAAAAGTAAAACCACAAAGGACATTTTGTTGGGATTTTTCAGAAAAAGATATTACCTAGGCGGCCCTTTCAGGGCTTTACATATGGCAGCAGGCCAGGCTGCTGTAATAGATATTATTAATGTCACAAGTATCACAATTCATTGTTAAACCAAAATGATCCCTTTCTTAGATAAACAATTCATTTCTTCACTTCTGTCTCACTTGCTCAAAGTATACATTCTTTAAGAAACACACAACAGAGAAAAAGGGAAAAAGGAAAGCCAAAAGAAAGAACCTCAGGTAGCATAGACAATTATACATTATGTTGCAAAGCATCTTGATATGGCAACAATTACAAGGAAAGCTACAAGAACTTTCATCTCTTTGTTCAAACATAGAGAGCTCCCAAACATGACATTTACTTTATACAAAATTGTTGGTTTCAAACTTTGTGATACTTGTATTTCTCCTCCAAATTAAATCTACTGATGATTCTGCGGTCAAATCCGTTCAGTACTACCTTCCTCACAGCCTCAGTTACTTTGTCTAATGCCGCATCAATCTGTCCAGTAGCAATTAACAATTGAAAGTTTATAGCAACATAGGAACTTCACAATTCATCCATATTAAATGTACATCAACACTGACTAGATATATAGAGAGAGGGTGTATTTTTGTTTGTTTGCAAGCATGCATATGCATATTGGAGAAGTAAGCAATTGTTTGGAGATGAATTCTTCATATGGGGCATTTCACAATCAAATAAGATAAAATAAAACCGTTTCGACTAGTGACCTTAGAGCAATATCTTCTTCGCATAATGAAGTATAAACTGTTTTTTCATAAAATAGCAATTGAACATCATTTAGCACATGGTATGATAGCATGGGTTTTTAAATATGGAAGCCGGAACAGGAGTTCACCTAAGTGAAGTGACATTTTCAAGGCATCAAACTCCATTCAACAAGCAACATGCATCACATATTTGCAATAAGATAATGACAATTACATACTTGTTCTCTCTCTTTTGAGCTGAACTTCTGTAGAAGAAATGCTCTCATGTCCATGGTGCCAGGTGGATTTCCAATGCCTGCAAGAATGGAAATACTAAGTATTCACTGGCAAAGTTAACATGCAGCAACTAGATGAATATTTATGCTAAAAAAAGGGAAAGAATATGAACAACCAACCTATAGACAGTCGAGGAAATTGACGGCAACCATCCAAATGGTCGATCACACTCATCAATCTGTAACAAGATATCACAAGTTTAAGATTCTATTTTCTTCTGGTTTTTATTTACCAGAAAAGGTATGAAGTTTTTATATATGATAAGACAAGTAATCATTCAAGATGCAAAATGGAATTTGATTTAATGTAGTAGTCTAGTAGGTAAAAAAAATATACGTGTTTTAGAAAATATGACACACTGAACTAAAAGAAACTGCAGAATTATACTAAAGCACTGACTATCAATAACTGAGATCATTAAATATGCTCCTCCTGATATCTGAGATAAAAGGATTCACTTTGTAGTAAATAGTGACACCAAAACTCACACAAAGTATTGCTCTTTTCAAAAAGGTTAAATGACCAAGCAGCCGAGTAGGTTTTGTCCAAGTTCATAGAGTATATATTTAAAGGGACAAGGAAAATCTAGATTAGAATACATCTTAAATGCAACCTATAGCTTACAAAAAGAAGTTATCTCCCAACACATGTATATTGATTTAATTGATTCAGAAGAAGAAAATACCAAGTCAAGAAGTTTCATCCTTTATTGAATCTTCATAGAAACAGTAGGTGACAACTGAGAATATATATGGAATTACAGCTCCCTATAATTTGTGTTTCTCTTGCTTTTAAGAGTGAAAATACTGTCCTGTGTGCATCAGGCTAACCACAGCCAAATTTGGACAGCAGAAGACAGGCATCATGTAACTGACCTAAACATATATGACTATAGATTTGGATAACCCTCAGACTTATCCCAAAATTGTAGTAAGCAAACTGCAGAATTAATGACAACTTAAGGCTTTCAAAAACCAACCTAATGATTAAGTAAATACACCAAAATGATCCATAACTTATCTTATTCGCTGTATCAAGTCAATCTTTAGTGTCAAAGCACTAAAGCACATGGTATTTTCTAAAATTTCCCTAATAAATGAATTCTGAAATTAGACTAGCATTCAACAACAACAATGAGATCAAAGACCATAATAGCATGGATACCAGCTAAAAAAGGATTTTGGAAGCAGTAACTAGAAAGTTTCTGGCCTTCACCAATTTTGCATGAAGTGGCAATTTGCAAGGAAATCAAAGAAAATATATGCAATAACAACAACAAGCCTTAGACCCAAACTAGTTGTGGTCAGCTATATGAATCCTTTGTTTTCAATATCCGCTCTGATCATGATTAATACTCATACAAATTAAAGTATAAATCAGAAAAATTTTAAAATGCTTTTTAAAAAATAAATAAATAAATAAAATTGAAGGGGAATTTTAAAAACATTTGAGGACTCAAGAACATAAAAATTTCATTTTTAAACTCTGCCAAATTATAATCTAAAACATACCCGGTATGATGGCCATGTCCTCCTTTTGGCAGAAGCCTCATGACACCATTTGGTAGGCTCATCTCATCATAGATCTAGGCGTTCAAATCTCAGAAGCATGAGGTCAATATGCAATATATCTACAAGAGTGCAATCAGATTTCTCTTACACTGTAGTAAGGAACTAAAAAGCATACCACTAAAATATGACGCAAAGGTACTTGATAATGAGCCGCAAGTGGTCCAACCTGCGCATCAGTAAAAAGAGAGGAAAGTGTTAATCACACAAATCAGCTACTCATGTTGCCCAGTACTGAAAAAAAAATTTATAGATCCAGTACAAGAGACACATACATCATTAAGAGATATGCAAACATAATATAGTAGAAGAATCATATGTCCATTCCACTACACACTTAGAAATAACCCAATTAAATTTGATCTTTCTCTGATGTCCCACTTCCCAAAGGATGAGAAAAAAGAAAAGAGACTAATAGCTTCTTTGTCCAA